CCTCCCTCGTCCTCCGCACCGACTTCAACCTCAGCATGTCCTATGACTGGAACAACCACCTGAGGATCACCGTCCCCAAGGTCTTCTCCGACAGCCTGTGCGGCCTGTGCGGCAACTATAATGGGGACCTCTCCGATGACTTCCGGACCCGAGACAGGGACCTGGCTCCCAGTGTCACCGCCCTGGGGAAAAGCTGGGCAGTGAAAGATGAGGATCAGTTTTGCTGGCACGATTGCATTGGAGGTTGCAGGCCCTGTGCCCCCAGCATTGCCAGAAAGTACAAGGAGGAGGCCTCATGCGGCCTGATAACCAAGGTCTCAGATGGGCCCTTCAGCCAGTGCCACAGCAAGGTGGATCCTACAGTCTACTTGGACAACTGCGTGTACGATCTGTGCCACAACAATGGCTACAGGAAGGCCGTGTGTGAGGCCCTGAAGGCCTATGCGGACGCCTGCCAGCTGGAGGGGGTCAGGATTGGAGAATGGAGGCAGCTGGCCAGATGCCGTGAGTACAGATTTGTATGCCAAGGTCTATGGTCTGCTGGTTAGACCGGGGAGCCTCGGGCTCAGCACTCTTGAGTTCTAGCCCTGGATCGAGTGGTTTGGGATTGAGCAGTGATTGGGAAATCAGGACTCCTGGGTTCTATTGTACCCACAGTGTTTGTCTGTCCGTGGTATTGCTAAGGTGCCTGTCACTTTGAGTATCTAACGCCCACTGATAACTCATGGATGGTTGAGGTTAAATGACGCCTGTTTTTAAGTTACTCTTCCTACCATGGACCTGATCCTGTAAGGTGCTAATCACCTCCTGCAGTGTGCTGAGCACCCTCACCTCCTGCTCAGGTCACTGGGATTCGAGGCTCTCAGAGCCCCACAAGATCCATCCCCTTCTGCCTATTTTAAATACTGCTTTTGCTTGGAGAGAACTTGCTGCTAAATCTGTGGGTCCTTCACTCCCCAGCCATGGAGTGCCCCCTGGAGAACAGCCAGTACCAGCTCTGTGGAATAGCCTGCCCAGCCACGTGTGTCGACCAGTCAGCCCCCAGCAGCTGCCAAGACCCCTGCATAGAAAGCTGCCAGTGCAAGGATGGTTTTGTGCTGAGCCAGGGAAAATGCATACCCATGCAAGACTGTGGGTGCCTATT